AAGGCCAGGGGCCCCTAGTAGCTTCTTGTTCCTAGTAGTAAGGCCAGGAGCCCCTAGTATGTAGCGAACATTGTTCCTAAGGCACATGTAGCGGAACTCCTTGCTGTCCAACTTCCCCGAGTTGTCCACGTCGAAGCGGCGGAAGGAATCGGCCACCTGGGCCATCTCATAGGCCAGGCTCACAGAGACCCGCTCCTGGAGCCGTTGTGAAGCATGAGCAAACATGAGGAAACAATCGGAAACAACACCGCGCAGGCCTGCGCAGGCCAAACAAAATGATGGTAAGTAGATGTAAGGAGTTTTGAACCATGGAGTACGGGTGCACATCTGATTTGACAAATGAACCTAGAAGTATCCAAACCAAACCAACTCTTTGGTGTCCAGCAAAGGCAATGCCTTTGCGAGTGCAGAAATTTGCCACCGCAATTTGTCGTTCAGGCAAGTCTACAGAACTTTAGTCTTGGCCTGATGCACCAGCTGCTACAGTATCCGTCACTACTCTCCCCGTCAGCTAAATTGAACCACCTTTCCCTCTTTCCCCCCTATCCTTGGACCTTTCCATTTCTACACGCATCCATCAAAAGTCGCTGATCTCTCTAAGCCTGCAACCTATGTTGCCAAAGTCCTGGCAGCCTCCAAGCCGCCCCCTGCCCTTGTCGCCCTGATTGCCAAGATGCCAAAAAGCCCTTGGCATCTTCGATGTGGTTTGCAATGATCGACTCCCGGCAACTTCGCACCCAAAAGAGCAAGTGGTGTGGAGCTCGCTCGGTACCCATGGGCCTTGCAACGATAACTTGATGCGCTTTGTGGAGAGGAGTGGGCTCACTTCGATTTCCTGTTCGATTCTATTGGCCAAGAGACAGGTTGCAAATGGACCAATCATTGGCTTACTTTTTGTTGGAGTGAAACCACTCCACGCATCCAACACCACCATCCGCGTCAAGATTTGCTAACAAAGGGGCACCACTAGGGGCACCATGGTGTTAAAAGGTCTGGCTCTAAGACTCTAAGATGTCCGCCTGAGATACGGATGCTCGTGCACAATCTGGGCCAAGCCAGCCACAACCTGCCAGCCACAAAAGCATGTCATCACATATAGCTGTCCCTTCTGGCACCTTGCCAACTACAACCTTTCCACACTACATGCAGCAAAGTATCAACAGTGAAAGAACGTTTTGCAACCTCAAATCCAGACTTATTGTAGATGTTGTCGTCATTGGAGGGGGATTTGGTGATTTGAGGCCATTCTCGCCTGTGCCATCGAGGCATCTTCGCCAATCTTCCCCAGAGCTCGAACAATATCATCGTGCCCAGCTCCAGTACCTGCAGCTGTCCAGCGGTTGCAAGTGACGGAGCCTGTTGCGGTTGCACACCGTCCTAGTGATGAGCACTGCCCACGAATAAAGCGGCTTAGGTATATATGTGGGTGATTCTTTTACTTCATGGGTCAATGAAATTAGGCCTGCAATTTGATCGAAAGGGGTGCCTGGTAATTACTACATTTCAACGTTGAATCGCTCTATCATCAATGCGGACACTAATTGGCAGATTAGATTCCTTTTTTTAGAAGGGTTCGCGGCAATCAAACTTCTACTGACTGGAGTAGGGTACAGTAGCCGCAGTAGCCTTTGTAATCCAGGATTGATGACTTGAGCACACCAACGTCGAGCAAAGCAATGAACGGACAAACTCAATCCCTCTCTTTTTGCATGTGCAGTGAAGTAGTACTCTTGCTTCGATTCATGACTGTGTTTCCCTTGATGCTCAACTTGATGCCTGATGGGGAGAACCTGCTTGGAAAAAACACGTGTATATACATATACATATGATATCATTTGCATTGCAAAGGGCAACCTTTGAGCAACAATGGCTGGTTTGGGGTACAAAGCGCATAAACCCCATATGTTGGCAAAGCAGGAATTGCACAAGACCTTGGATAGCAGCAACCATTGGAGTCCGGCTCTGCGACGAGTTCATTCCCGGTCCCTTGGTAAGCCTTAGTATGCAAGGAGTTCTTTTGATATTTCTAGAGACAAGTAGGTTGTAAGTATGTAAATGTATATTTGTTCAAATATAAATCTATTTGGGCACACAACTTGTTCATACCCTCGTCTATGTTTCCAAATATCGGACATGACATTAGAATGATGTCAAACATCTTTTGAACAGAATCCTCTTGTTCATTCTTTGGCCTCAATGCACTCCCAAAAAGAATATCCGATTGGCTTTGTTGGCCACATGTGTCCCAACACATAGCACTGAATTGGATGGAGGCACTGAATCGGACATCGGCGCCAGTGGCTCCGGAACAACAGGTGGATCCCATGGCTCAGACTTGTGAACGAGATTTCCTCACGGGAGAAGACTGTGATAAATGGAATGACGCATGAGATGCGTACCAAAAGTCAAAGCCGCATGTGTGTTGACGAGTCCTACTTATTGTCCAGCTATGGGTTCCTACCTCACTCACCAAGTCTGTCAAATACATCGCCCAAACATTGTCGACCAAATTCGAGCCTGGTTTCCAGAAATGCACTTTGCCTGGATGGATGTTGCACGAATCATGTCACAGTTGTCCTTGACTTTAGAATCTGCTCATGCATCGGAGGCGTGCAAGGGCAGTTCAACATGGTGCAACAAGAAAAACACATGCAGTGGCCTCTGCACGGGAGAAGACTCTTTACTTGGGTTAGCTTGGCATTTCATTGACCATAAAAAGGCCTGTGAAGAAATACAGCACCCAAAAGTCTCATCCGCTATTGCGAGGCAAAGAACAGAAATGTGCAGAAGGTACCGTGTACATCCGTTGCACCGTACATCACTTCCCCCCTTAGGCCCGAGATCCTGGCCCTCAAACATCCACAGAGTCCACCACCTGTTCCTCTTCGACTGGGAGAAGCTCCCCCCAAGCGGAGTACCGGCACCTGATCAATCTCCATCTGCAAGGCGCGCCTTGGCTGAAGCCGCGGAGATGACAAACGAGATGGAGAGCGACGTGTTGAATGACACGTCTGCGCTTTTGTTGCCATTGACGAACTGATAGCTAGTACTGCCATGTGCGTCTAGTTGGTTGCATCAAGACAAAGGCGTGAAGGACTAACAGTCGTGTTTGAGTGGACACCTTCAGATTTTGCTTGTGCTGTTTGATATGTACAAGCCAGCCATTCAAAAGCTTTCGAATTGACCTCCTTAGGACCTGTGGAACGGGTCTGATGCTCTGTTCGGACAAATTACCTATAGAGCTGCATTCTTCCTGGCTACAAGTTTGGATGGACAACAATAATAGCGGAATATATGCTGCCATGCACTTGCAAGCGCTTGCGACTGTATTTTTCTTCAGTCTCTGTGCTGCATCATGTTTTGCATCTTCATGTGAAGATTACAATCTCAGGAAATGCAAAGCAAGCCTCACGCGCTTGTTGCATGTATGCATCGTAATAGTTTATATACCAACTTGCCTTGGAGAAAGACTTGCTCTAACATCCTCTAATAAAGCTATTTCCAAGACTAAAAGCACAAACATAGTGTTCCTGGTTCCCTATGTAGAAGCAATGTATACATGCGGGACCGATGTGGCGGGTTTCAAACATCAAGGACCGAATCATGGGACTAACCGACTAACCCATCCGGTCGCTCTGCAACGCGTTGATATCAGAAGGGTTCACGATGAGGGGTGGCCCTGGTGGCAATTAAGCGCTGGCCCTACTCAAGTGCTCCCCTGGAGTCCCTGCGAGAAAGATCACTGTACACATCTTTCAGTTCTACGCGGGTTGAACCGCATGGCTTCATCACATCAGGCCACAAAAAGCCCTATGGCTGACCATCCCTTTTGGAACACAAACACATCTGATGGACGAACGACTACTAACGACTGTTAGAGTGAAGTGCTAACGGCCCTGGCGGCAAGCCATGTATGAGACCTGAATGAAACCCGGCCCAATCAAAAATTTTATATAGCCAAATTCAGCCAATTATGTAATCCAAACGTCTTTGACATCATGAGCTTGGATGCTTGCCGAACATGCACTGGTGTATGTAGCTGTCTATATATGGAGTCCATTGGAGGATTAAACAATTGCACATGTGTGTTCCACGCGTGACCGCGTCCAGAAGCCATGAAGTACTGCTCTGGGGCCCTGCTTTTAGCAAAATGGCCCCTCTTCAACATTCTGCCGATGGAATCCGCAGTCCCTTCACCATCTTAGAGCCACACAATGCGAACAAAGGCAAGCTTGTTGCAAGTTGAACGTCATTGTGAGCTGATTCTGTGAAAGCAAGAACACACACAACTCTGGGAAATAGACACGAACAAACTACAGGGGCACTTTGTGTCGTCAGTGTCAATTAGCACTCCATCTATATAGCTCCAAGGACATTCTGTGGCCACATGCCAAACATCAGTGGAATGGCAAAGTTTCTCTCGATACAGGCACCATCCCAATTAACATGTTGACAATCTGCTCCATTACTACTCTGCTAGAAGCGCAGAAGCCTGTGTGAAGCAGTGGATTCTACACAAACACGATGATCTTACCATGTTTGATCAAACAGGATTAAGCTGACATCCTCACCTAGATGCAAACATCACTCAACAAGGCAAGGAACATGCACCTGATCGCTTGCTCCTCCACATTGGACTTGAGTTTATGATTGATTTAGCTTGTACTTGTACATACCCTTCCCATCCCGTGCACATCAATAGCTGATACACACAGTAGAACACAAATAAACATTGACAGACATGATTCAGGTCAAAGCTTTTGCATTGGTGCGGCTTGGCGAGAAATCCTGCAACAAAAAAGCGCTGGGCGACACTGCGTGCATTGCGGCCTTCAAACATAGTTCAGTCCAACCCGCCCAGACCTGGGCTTGAAGTTCTGGAGACTGAGTTAACGCCGTTAACGCCTTGAAACACCCAAGATTGGCATGCTCGCCTGGCACGTGTCCAAAAAGAGGTCGTCAATCCAGAGGGGTCGGCGATCCGAACCCAGGCCCTTTGCCCAATGAATTCCCATGGGGCAAAGGCCACCACCTCCTTGTTTTGCAACAGGAATGTGTCCTACACCAAGGCACGCTTGTTCATTCGCAACATATGATAATGCTGTGTAAGCGGTGAATGCAAGAAATCATGGCTGGTAGAACCTGTCATATCTACTTGCCAGAAATGAGACTTGTTCCTCACAACGAGGCAAATGAACGCCCAGTGCAAGTAGCGCATAATGACGTCATAATACACGGGTGGCCAGTGCCCATTCAAGGAATCCCGATGTTGGATTATCCGCTTGTCGTTTGCTTGCCATACGTGTAAACAAACATGTGACACCACATCGCATGGTGTCGACTCCATCATGCATTTAAAACAAATTAAAACACTGACTATGTTTGCCACATGTACATAATATATACTCCAAAATGAAAGCCAATGCAACATCATGTCATGACTGATTGAAACTGAAGTTATTCTCAGAACTGACCCAGGACGCCGGCAAGCTGCAAGCTTGTGCGGATTGACACCCGCGGATCTGCTTCAATCAACAGGACCCATGGTCCAACATAGTCAAACCCGCCCAGTATGCGCTTAACTTCTTCGTACCATTTCTTGCGACGCCTAGAAATCGTCACAGAATGACCCGTTTGGCCCTGCTGCCTTCTATTCTTCCGGGGACACCCGGAGCAGCATGCCGAGCATGCCCAAGTAGTACAGTGCAGTCATTCAGAATCCGGACACGTTCTTTGAGGTAAAGCACTTCTTTGGGGTAAAACACCATCCAGTGTGACTTGATGTTTGTGCAAAAATCCTCACTAGGCCTGGACACATGCGAAGCCCGCGAATGGAATTCGCTCCAAACTGTGGGTGTTCAACTACTATTTCTGCCTGAAGTAGACACGCCGTCCCAGTATTTGAGGCAAAACATGCTTTGAAACAAGCTAAACTGTATAATTGGTAATTGGTCAGTCTGTATAATTGGTAATTGGTCAGTACAGCATTGCCTGTTACTTGGATTCAGGCGCTTCCGCACTGCGAAAGTGGTCCTTTTGTGGATTCTGCAATTTCTGCCAGATCTGCTTCATCAAGTGCATTGTGCAGCATCAGTGCGCTTACCTCAGCATCTTGCATAGATTTGCATACCATTGCAATGCACGAAGGACGGTGACCAGCACAAGGTAATCATGTTTCAATTCAAGCATTATGAACATTCAGGCAGCTGAATGAATAAGAGGCATGGTTCAGTGGCATGAGTCTCCATGTTACACAGTCACGAAGCACCTACTGAATAATCTTTACACGGTAGAAGTGACGGCAAAGGGCCAGGCTGAAGCACGCAGAACATGCTCTTGGAGCTCGACCTTGACTTTGTGGAGCCTGTTCGAGCAAACGCATGTGGAGACCCAGCAAGACCTGATGGTGGTCGTATCGAAACATGGGGTCACGAGGAAATCTGTAGGACTGGATTACTTACTTACACCTCTTGAACCCCCTGTAAGAATGTATAAATGACCGTATAACATAACCCGTATATTGTCAATTATTATGCAAACTCACGAACCCGCAGCCGCTCGGTATATGCAGTTCCTCACGGATCAGCATGGTTTTTGTCGGGTCTTGGTAGACTCCGCCGCAGGTGACGTTGGTGAGTGATTTCAACGATACTTTCTCACTCCCTTACGGCAGCTGCTCTTGGCAATAGGCAGCTGCTCTGAATTGCTCTGACCTTGATGTGTCTGGGCCATGGTCAAGGCCCAAACATGTTGACTGAGGAGTATCTACTATATCTCAGCGACAAAATGATGTCAAACAACACCGAGCTGGCAACTGGCAGGTCGACTCTGTTAAGAACCAGTATCTACCATTGCTGCAGGACAAACCTGTGGTGCCTGTGACAAGACCCCTTGCTGATTCTCTCGACCGTCCAATGAGGTCACGCCTCTGGTTCCCAAGTTCGGACTGCAGTGGTTCCTCGCATCCCTTCAAACGCGCAGTGTGACACAGTGGCATCCTTGCAGTCGCCACCTCCAATACCTGGAACATCCTAATACTAGTAACAAGAACGCTACGAACGGGCTCCTGGCATCGCTATATACTAGTAACAAGAAGGCTACTGGGGCCTCTTCTATCGCCGTACCTGGAAATGGCCCAACAACCATTCTGTCGGCAGCCTTCAGAGGACAAGTGGTGTGCAAACCTGGCCAATCCGGGCCAGGTTGATGGCCATGGCCATGAACCACTGATGGTTGTGTATTGAAGTAGGGGGACCCTCCAACCATTGGGTTTTGGTCTATGTTCCTTCTTCCCGGGTCTTTGGGAAGTCTCCCTAGTCTAATACA